GACCGAGGCGGAGTGCACGGCCATGGGGCTGCGCAGCGGCCACCTGCGGGACAGGTACGCGCCAGCGGGGGCGCAGCGCAGTTCCGGGGGGTGCTGCTGAGGATGAGGAGAAGCGAGGGAAGCAGGGACGGACCTGTCCAGGGAAGTAGAATAGGGTTTGCCCCGAGTTTCCTGGGCTGACTGTTGGACCTTAGATTCTTTAACTGTGAAGGTCAAGTCCGTGCCCGATTCAGACCTGGTAAAATGGGTAGGGGTAAGACCCTGCCAGAGTTTCCTCTGTAACAGGAGGGCATCTGGCCTGGTGACCTCCACGGCTCCTGCTTTCTAAACTTTCTGAGTCTTACTACAGAGCACAATAGTAGAGAAATAGAATGCCATTACTTATCTGGAGCAAGGTGGAAAATGTTCAAGGACATTGGATTAGGCCTTGCTGAACTTGTTCCTCACACTTGTCCAGTCCTGGGGGCTGGGCTGCCTGGGAGGCTGACCCACTTTAGTGACTATAATGAACAGAGTGGAGTTGGGGAGGGGAGGAGGCAGAGGGACTGAGTGAGAAGTACTTACTCCAGGCCACAGTTAAGGGAAGAGTGTGTCCCCCTCTTCTATGGGAAGGATGGTCTTGGAGAAGAACTGTGGGCAAGTCCTTACCCACTCAGGGCCTGGCACATAGAACTCTGGTGCTAAGGATTAAGACCCTTCTTACCTGCTAACGTGGTATAGCTGTGGTCCTGTGTACAGAGAGAGGAAGTTTACAAGTTGATCGTTTAGGGAAGCTTCTGGCAGAGGAATGTCTACTCTCTAGTATTCACTGGTACATGTATGCTCTGTTCTCTGAAGACCACTGTCCTTTTTTTTTTTTTTTAAAGGGAGATTTTTGCTATAGGGTGTGTGTGCTCACCAGAGAGACAGAGAGAGAAACATGAAATTGCCCCCTGGGGGGATGCCACATTGCATTTCCTTCTTTTCCATTCTCCTCTTGGGCATGCACACATATCTGTCTTGCGTTAGTTTTAAGTAGCCAGGTCCGGGATTTGAACTGCGGTCAGCTACGTGGAAATCCAGCGATGTAGCCATTACACCATCTGCTGGTCCCAAGGCCACTGTCCTTTTAAAGAAGTGTGGGCTCCCACTGCACTGGGAAACTTGAGTTGTTTTAGAGAAGTGTTGTATGTGCAGACTAACTCGTGGGGGACTTTCCATCCCCATCCCAACCCAGACTTTTAATCATGCAGAGGGTTTTTGTTTGTTTGTTTGTTTGTTTTTTTTATAATTTACTGATATTCCCATCCCAGACCTACTGGATCATAGTTACCCAAGTATGGAGCCAACTCTGTTGAGTGTAAATTTCCCCACGTGATTTATTTTTTAGGGAGATTTTTGTCTTTTTCTACAGGGTATGTGTGCTCACAGTAGAGAGAGAGATAGACAGAGAAACAATACGTGAAAAATCAACCCCTCCAGGGTGCTGATCATGCCACAGTCCCTTTTCCTCCATTCTCATCTCAGGATTTTGGGCACACATGCACATGCACCCAGCATGAGTTTCAAGCTGTTGGATCTGGGACTCAAACTGTGGTCAATCATTTTGGAGTCTAGCGATGTAACCACTATGTCATCTGCTGGTCCTACCCCCACCCTCAGGTGGTTTTGATGCTGTAATTAAAGGATTTTATCTGAGACCTTTAAGAAGATGATGTTTAGAGCTTACTCAAGTGTGAAGGATTAGAAAAGCCTTCTTACTGCAGGCCCAGAGGTAATGGACACCTTCCAAAAACCAGCAGAAGCAACTTCTCACGACACATACACATCCAGAGAAATTAGAATTGTGCTCCTTCCTTCCTTCTCTGCAGGATTGGGGTTATTTTACAGATGTCCAGTCCTTACCTGTGTTTCTTCTGATCATCAGAGTAGCTATTGCTGTTCTGCTTCTCATTGCCACTACTTTGCTGTGACTATTGCTGTCATGGAAGGAAAATATGTGTTCTCTGTCTGTATTCTTTTTCCTTCAGGTTTTAGCCAGAGAGTGCTTACACTCACCAGAAAAAGGCAGAGAGAGGGAAAGTAAGAAATTCCTCCACCCCCACCCCCAGGAGGAGTGATCACACCAACACCCTTCTCTTCCATTTTACTTTCAGGATTTTGGGCATATGGGCACATTCACCTGGTGTAATTCTCAAGCCACCAGGTTCAGGACTAGAACCACGGTTGGCTATGTGGTAGTACAGTGCCTTAACACCAGGCCATCTGCTGGGCCATTGCCTGTGTTTTTAGTGCCTCCTTGGTATCCTAAAATAAACAAAACTGTGTCACCTTTTCCTTATTGTGCACAGTCAATGTTCGGGATGGTGTGAAATGTGAAGACTTCAGGTGGAAGGAATATTCAATGGTTAATATGCATTAGGCACTGAGTTAATCCTGTCCTACAGATTTTCTTATCTGAGTCTCATAACAGTCATGTGGACCAGGTATTATTACCTTCACTTTGCAAGGATGGAAACGGTATCAGACAGGATGTGTTTCTTACCCAAGATCACAAAACCAGTATGTGCTTAGGGGATTTGAACTCAGGCCTATGTGAGTATGACACTTCTATTGTTTCTGTGAAATCAGCCTTTGAGAGAGCACTGTAAGGATTAAACTGAGGATCAGGAAATCTTGGGCAGCCTGGTAGTTTAACCTCTCTGAATCTCAGTTTTCTCATTTGCAAAAGAAAGAAGTGGAGCTTGATGGTTCCTAAGACCCCTTTTTCCTAGATTTTTCTTTATCAAAAGATAATCGGAACTGGGAAGGAAGCTTGCCGGAAAGAACTGCTTACAGGCTGCTGTTCTCTCAACCCGAGAAAAAAGTAACAAATACAAACATTCTAGAATGCAGGGAAAGGCCTCTTTTAGTTCATTCTATTCTGAACACATATCTTTCGAACCGTTTGGAGAAGCTGGGATTTTCCTCTGAAGTGTGCCTCAGATTTGCACGGTGTTTCGTTCAGAGCTGTTAGCGTACTGGTGCTTGAGCTTGTCTTGAGCACCCCGTGTTTGAGGTGTTTGAAGTCCACCTGGCAGAATGCTGGTACTGGCTGCCTGCTGTCTGCAGAGCAGGGCCTTCCTTCCGTGCCTTTGAAATCCCTGCTTTCCTTAGCAGCCATGTATGACTCGATAACGTGTATCTGTTCAGACTCTTTCTGCACCTAGCCTTTGTTTGTTTGTTTGTTTGTGTTTTCTCTCTGCACAAACTGTTGACTCGTGGAGAAAGGAATTCACTATCCAGCATGTCATTCCCTGCCCGATTCCTCTGTCTCTCCCTTCCCACTTTCTGTGGTCGGGTTCCTGCCTTCCCCCATTTTCGGCCTCTGTCCTTCTGCTCCCCAGGCCAGCTGTAATGGAGAAAGGAAGTTCTGTGGTCATCTTGGGCTCTGCCTCCTCACTGTTGCTGGCTGCTCAGGGCTTTGTTGCTTTTCTGGGGACTGAGCTCTGGGCTCCTGCAATGATCCTTCTACCACATCCTCGTGTTTCTATAAAACTAAGGCGCCAGCTTTCAGTATCGCACACTGCACTGGGATAGCTTGGTCCTGAAAGCACCCACAATGCAGACCGATCCTTTACTAGCTCTGGCAGAAGAGAGCTATTTTTTAATTCACTGTGCATCATTCATGTGAAAGGTAAAAAACATCACCCAGGTTGATGGGTAATGTGATGGCTGGGGTGTATTCCCGATGGCAACCTTTTACCTTTTATTGTTGTCTTTGTCTTGTCCCAATGTTGGGTTCCCTACAAGTTGCCACTTGCCTTTTCAATTCTCTTGATTAACTGGAGACTTCTAGCCAGCACTTCCCACAGATAATCGAGCAGTACATTCCCATGTTATTAGACAGCAGGCTGGAGCCAAGGGTGGGACTATGAGCCACAGTGAAGGGCCAGTATAGTAAGGGATGGATTGGAGATTAGAAGACTCAGCTCAGGGAGGGGCTGACTAGCAGAAGTGCTGAACAAATAGGGGAGTCATTTCTTTTTTTTTTTGGAGAGGTTTTTGCTATAGGGTGCATGTGCTCGCGTCCCCCTCTTCTATGGGAAGGATGGTCTTGGAGAAGAACTGTGGGCAAGTCCTTACCCACTCAGGGCCTGGCACATAGAACTCTGGTGCTAAGGATTAAGACCCTTCTTACCTGCTAACGTGGTATAGCTGTGGTCCTGTGTACAGAGAGAGGAAGTTTACAAGTTGATAGTTTAGGGAAGCTTCTGGCAGAGGAATGTCTACTCTCTAGTATTCACTGGTACATGTATGCTCTGTTCTCTGAAGACCACTGTCCTTTTTTTTTTTTTTTAAAGGGAGATTTTTGCTATAGGGTGTGTGTGCTCACCAGAGAGACAGAGAGAGAAACATGAAATTGCCCCCTGGGGGGATGCCACATTGCATTTCCTTCTTTTCCATTCTCCTCTTGGGCATGCACACATATCTGTCTTGCGTTAGTTTTAAGTAGCCAGGTCCGGGATTTGAACTGCGGTCAGCTACGTGGAAATCCAGCGATGTAGCCATTACACCATCTGCTGGTCCCAAGGCCACTGTCCTTTTAAAGAAGTGTGGGCTCCCACTGCACTGGGAAACTTGAGTTGTTTTAGAGAAGTGTTGTATGTGCAGACTAACTCGTGGGGGACTTTCCATCCCCATCCCAACCCAGACTTTTAATCATGCAGAGGGTTTTTGTTTGTTTGTTTGTTTTTTTTTTTTTTATAATTTACTGATATTCCCATCCCAGACCTACTGGATCATAGTTACCCAAGTATGGAGCCAACTCTGTTGAGTGTAAATTTCCCCACGTGATTTATTTTTTAGGGAGATTTTTGTCTTTTTCTACAGGGTATGTGTGCTCACAGTAGAGAGAGAGATAGACAGAGAAACAATACGTGAAAAATCAACCCCTCCAGGGTGCTGATCATGCCACAGTCCCTTTTCCTCCATTCTCATCTCAGGATTTTGGGCACACATGCACATGCACCCAGCATGAGTTTCAAGCTGTTGGATCTGGGACTCAAACTGTGGTCAATCATTTTGGAGTCTAGCGATGTAACCACTATGCCATCTGCTGGTCCTACCCCCACCCTCAGGTGGTTTTGATGCTGTAATTAAAGGATTTTATCTGAGACCTTTAAGAAGATGATGTTTAGAGCTTACTCAAGTGTGAAGGATTAGAAAAGCCTTCTTACTGCAGGCCCAGAGGTAATGGACACCTTCCAAAAACCAGCAGAAGCAACTTCTCACGACACATACACATCCAGAGAAATTAGAATTGTGCTCCTTCCTTCCTTCTCTGCAGGATTGGGGTTATTTTACAGATGTCCAGTCCTTACCTGTGTTTCTTCTGATCATCAGAGTAGCTATTGCTGTTCTGCTTCTCATTGCCACTACTTTGCTGTGACTATTGCTGTCATGGAAGGAAAATATGTGTTCTCTGTCTGTATTCTTTTTCCTTCAGGTTTTAGCCAGAGAGTGCTTACACTCACCAGAAAAAGGCAGAGAGAGGGAAAGTAAGAAATTCCTCCACCCCCACCCCCAGGAGGAGTGATCACACCAACACCCTTCTCTTCCATTTTACTTTCAGGATTTTGGGCATATGGGCACATTCACCTGGTGTAATTCTCAAGCCACCAGGTTCAGGACTAGAACCACGGTTGGCTATGTGGTAGTACAGTGCCTTAACACCAGGCCATCTGCTGGGCCATTGCCTGTGTTTTTAGTGCCTCCTTGGTATCCTAAAATAAACAAAACTGTGTCACCTTTTCCTTATTGTGCACAGTCAATGTTCGGGATGGTGTGAAATGTGAAGACTTCAGGTGGAAGGAATATTCAATGGTTAATATGCATTAGGCACTGAGTTAATCCTGTCCTACAGATTTTCTTATCTGAGTCTCATAACAGTCATGTGGACCAGGTATTATTACCTTCACTTTGCAAGGATGGAAACGGTATCAGACAGGATGTGTTTCTTACCCAAGATCACAAAACCAGTATGTGCTTAGGGGATTTGAACTCAGGCCTATGTGAGTATGACACTTCTATTGTTTCTGTGAAATCAGCCTTTGAGAGAGCACTGTAAGGATTAAACTGAGGATCAGGAAATCTTGGGCAGCCTGGTAGTTTAACCTCTCTGAATCTCAGTTTTCTCATTTGCAAAAGAAAGAAGTGGAGCTTGATGGTTCCTAAGACCCCTTTTTCCTAGATTTTTCTTTATCAAAAGATAATCGGAACTGGGAAGGAAGCTTGCCGGAAAGAACTGCTTACAGGCTGCTGTTCTCTCAACCCGAGAAAAAAGTAACAAATACAAACATTCTAGAATGCAGGGAAAGGCCTCTTTTAGTTCATTCTATTCTGAACACATATCTTTCGAACCGTTTGGAGAAGCTGGGATTTTCCTCTGAAGTGTGCCTCAGATTTGCACGGTGTTTCGTTCAGAGCTGTTAGCGTACTGGTGCTTGAGCTTGTCTTGAGCACCCCGTGTTTGAGGTGTTTGAAGTCCACCTGGCAGAATGCTGGTACTGGCTGCCTGCTGTCTGCAGAGCAGGGCCTTCCTTCCGTGCCTTTGAAATCCCTGCTTTCCTTAGCAGCCATGTATGACTCGATAACGTGTATCTGTTCAGACTCTTTCTGCACCTAGCCTTTGTTTGTTTGTTTGTTTGTTTGTGTTTTCTCTCTGCACAAACTGTTGACTCGTGGAGAAAGGAATTCACTATCCAGCATGTCATTCCCTGCCCGATTCCTCTGTCTCTCCCTTCCCACTTTCTGTGGTCGGGTTCCTGCCTTCCCCCATTTTCGGCCTCTGTCCTTCTGCTCCCCAGGCCAGCTGTAATGGAGAAAGGAAGTTCTGTGGTCATCTTGGGCTCTGCCTCCTCACTGTTGCTGGCTGCTCAGGGCTTTGTTGCTTTTCTGGGGACTGAGCTCTGGGCTCCTGCAATGATCCTTCTACCACATGAAATCCCTGCTTTCCTTAGCAGCCATGTATGACTCGATAACGTGTATCTGTTCAGACTCTTTCTGCACCTAGCCTTTGTTTGTTTGTTTGTTTGTGTTTTCTCTCTGCACAAACTGTTGACTCGTGGAGAAAGGAATTCACTATCCAGCATGTCATTCCCTGCCCGATTCCTCTGTCTCTCCCTTCCCACTTTCTGTGGTCGGGTTCCTGCCTTCCCCCATTTTCGGCCTCTGTCCTTCTGCTCCCCAGGCCAGCTGTAATGGAGAAAGGAAGTTCTGTGGTCATCTTGGGCTCTGCCTCCTCACTGTTGCTGGCTGCTCAGGGCTTTGTTGCTTTTCTGGGGACTGAGCTCTGGGCTCCTGCAATGATCCTTCTACCACATCCTCGTGTTTCTATAAAACTAAGGCGCCAGCTTTCAGTATCGCACACTGCACTGGGATAGCTTGGTCCTGAAAGCACCCACAATGCAGACCGATCCTTTACTAGCTCTGGCAGAAGAGAGCTATTTTTTAATTCACTGTGCATCATTCATGTGAAAGGTAAAAAACATCACCCAGGTTGATGGGTAATGTGATGGCTGGGGTGTATTCCCGATGGCAACCTTTTACCTTTTATTGTTGTCTTTGTCTTGTCCCAATGTTGGGTTCCCTACAAGTTGCCACTTGCCTTTTCAATTCTCTTGATTAACTGGAGACTTCTAGCCAGCACTTCCCACAGATAATCGAGCAGTACATTCCCATGTTATTAGACAGCAGGCTGGAGCCAAGGGTGGGACTATGAGCCACAGTGAAGGGCCAGTATAGTAAGGGATGGATTGGAGATTAGAAGACTCAGCTCAGGGAGGGGCTGACTAGCAGAAGTGCTGAACAAATAGGGGAGTCATTTCTTTTTTTTTTTGGAGAGGTTTTTGCTATAGGGGGCATGTGCTCGCCAGAAAGACAGAGAGAGACAGAAAGATAGAAAGTGAGAAATCACCCCCCAGGGGGATGGCCCCGCCGCAATCCCTTCTCCTCCATTCTCCTCTCAGGATCTTGGGCACGCACGCACACATACCTGGTGTGAGTTTGAGCTACCAGATCCGGGACTCGAACCACAGTCGACTACATGAGAGTCCAGCGACATAGCCATTACGCTAACTACTGGTCCCTAGGGGAGTCACTTCTATTTGGACATTTGTCTGGTTGTCTGTGGATGTCAGGGGGAGTCTTGTCTAGGAATGGAACATGTTGGGAGTAGGCCTTGGTGAGGTTAACCAGGGCAGAGTCATCTGAAACTCTGCACCCAGGGATGAGCTAGAAACAGAACAGGGCCTGACCATGAGGGGACTGGGCTGTGATATAGACAGAAATTCCTTGAGTTGTATTTCTAGGCAAAATTGTGTCATGACTTTTCCGACGACCTAATAGAACCCACCCTAAGGACCAGTGGGTCAAAGAACTCTGGGATTAAAGACACTGGGAAAGAAAAAGATGGCCTTATCACAGAGGTGGGGATCTGCTATGGCCAGCTCCAGGGAATAGAGTAGCTGAGGCAGTTCCCCAAATGCCTTCACATGGTGGCACTCTCACACTGTCCCACATGCCAGGACACTGGCTGCCATCTACTCTATACTGGCTTGGTTACAGGAACGAACAGTTTGGCCAGAACCTGGAAAGGATCCTAGTGGTAGGGAGGTTCTAGATGCGAGAACCTAGGGACAGGAAAGGGCTCTCTGCAGTCTGATATTAGATGTCCTCATAAGGTTACCTCCTAATTCCCAGTGGGTTCTAGTCCTAATTTGGAAATGTCTCCTTAGGCAGAGCCGCCCCTTATCCCAGATGGGATTATGCTTTCTATCCTACTCACATTTGAGGAGCCTCTGGCTTTCTGTTGCTGCTCATTCTTTTAGTGCCCAGAGTTCTTCACCCACATTATGTGGCTACAGATGCTTCGTTTTCCCTAGGGAAATATTTCCCTTTATCTTTTTTTTTTTTTTTTTTTTAACCAACTTATTTGTGCAGCACAACGCAAATCTTCGCTGTACTACAGATAGAAGGATAACCGACCTAGCCTACCCAGCCTCCCTCCCCGCTCTTCATCTCACCCCAGAGAAATACAAAGTTCAAGAACCAAGACTAGCACAGTGGGCCCTGTAGAAGCCGAGTGGAATTCTTGATAACACATGACTTTTCAGGGTCTTTGCGCTCTTCATGAAGAGGAAAGGGTGTAGGGAGTTTCCTGATGTAGATGCTGCCCAGAGTAGAGCCAGCTTGACCCAGCCTCCCTCCCCGCTCTTCATCTCACCCCAGAGAAATACAAAGTTCAAGAACCAAGACTAGCACAGTGGGCCCTGTAGAAGCCGAGTGGAATTCTTGATAACACATGACTTTTCAGGGTCTTTGCGCTCTTCATGAAGAGGAAAGGGTGTAGGGAGTTTCCTGATGTAGATGCTGCCCAGAGTAGAGCCAGCTTGATTCTCTTAGAGGCAGCCATGCCATGAGAACTTTAATAGGATTCCAGTTCACCTGGGCCCATACATCTGGCCAACTCCATCTTGTTCTACAGCAGAAAGACCTGGAAGACATTTGGCTTCTCCCAGGGGTTCAGAGAGATGTTTAACAGGCCCAGGAAGTTTCTGACCAAACCAGAGTTGCCAAATAAGCAAAATGGCTGCCTAAACAGTGAGGGAAGGTCCCAAATCAGCCTCATTTTCTGTTTTTCAAATCTGGAACTATTCCTATGTTGGCCAGATCCTCTCTCCCTGGCATTTTTCTGTCTAATAAGCTCCTTTTGGGGTCACCAACTTTTAGACCCGAAGAATTTGACCAGGCTTGTATAATTGTCTACAATATAGCCATTGGGTTCCAAATCGGGGTCACTGTACGGTTTCAAGAAAATAGAACACTATATTGAAAGGATGGAAGAAGAGTGACTGAGTGTGCCCTTGTTTGTTTCCCTGCAGGTTTTGGCTGGTGATTAAGGAAGATGGACACATGGTCACTGCTCGGCAGGAGCCTCGCCTTGTGCTGGTCTCCATTACCTATGAGAACAACTGCCTGATCCTTGAGGCTCCGGGCGTGGACCAGCTGGTGCTGCCCACCAAGCTGCCCTCCTCGAACAGACTCCATGACTGCAGGTGTTCTGCCTGGGGGCAGCCAGGGAGCTACTACAGACCTGGTTTACCTTTAGATTCCTCCTTCATTCTGTCTTGCTATAGACAATGAAATTGGTAAAGGAAATGAGTAGGAGAAGTGTAACTTGGGTGGGATGGGCCAGTACTCAAACTTGAAGGTGAGGCAGATTGTTTTAAGGTACTCAGGATTTTTTTTTTTTTAAAGAATGATTTTACTTAACTTTATTTATTTATTTCAATTTGACCAGAGAGGGACAGAATGAGAGAGAGAGAGAAAGTGAGAAAGCAAGCTGCCAGATCTGGCTCGAACCACGGTCAGCCATGCGGGAATCTAACGCCTTTAAGTACCATGCCATATGCCGGCCCTGGCCCCCAGGATTTGTTTTAATCAGGCATGGTAAGACATACAGACACAGAAATGACAATTATGAAGAAAGATCTTATGTTAGTAGATCCCTAGAAGCAGGAGGCTTGGCATGCCTCACAGGTCCACGCAGGGAAGCACCACTGGGGTCGGGCAGTGGGAGTGAGGGAGGATGCAGGATGGAGCCTTTCTTGTGGTTCTGCAGGATTCAGAAAGCAAGGCAGGGTGAACAGGTTTAGGATTGACCTAAGTTTGAATAACCTCAGCAGGCCCTGGGGCACAGGGGCTGTTCTGATTGTCTAGTACTTGTCCCAGGGATATGAGGTCAGGGGCATAGCAGTTTGGAGTGTAAGAACCCAGTAAGGAAGACGGTTGGGAGTATGGGCTGTGGACTGTAAGTGTTCATATGAAAGGTACGCTTGCAGGCCATTAGTCTATCTCTAGGAACTGGCTAGCCCAAGGAGCAGCGACTCTCATCAGTGTCAGCAAAGCCTAAGCCTTGAATTACTTGAATTCTTACAAGTGTAAAGGGGTAAAGCTGCCAATCTTTCTTTGAAGCTGGATAGAATTTTATTCAGAATTGCCAGCCCTCCAGCCAAGCAGACAGAGGAGTTAATGGAGACTTCATCAGCTGTATCCCAGGGCTGGATGATAAGGAGGCTGGAGCTTTTGAAGATGACCCTGTGGTTGAGACTAAGGTCCCTCCAGCAGGAGTCACAGTAAGGGATTTCCACCTCTGTGGAGAGACTCTCCCTAGGTACTGGATTCCTTTAGCCTATGGGACTCCTTCTGAGCTGTCACAATCCATGGTTTCCTGGGGTCTTGCCCTTGCATATTCGGATGTTTTAGAGACTTTGATGCTTGTCATGGAATGTTCTGGATGCCTTTGTTAGCAACTGAGCTTTTTTTTTCTCTAAGGTTTTTGCCATAGGGCATGTGTGCTCACCTGAGAGAGACAGAGACAGCGAGAGGGAAAGTGAGAAATCACCCCCTGCACCCCGGGTCAGGGGGTCGGGGGAATGGCCATACCTTGATCTCTTTTCCTCCACTGTCCTCCTGCCTGCCTGGGATTTGGGATATGCATATACATACCGCCCAGCATGATTTTTCAAACCTCTAGGTCTGGGACTGGAACCATGGCCAGCCACATGGGAGTCCAGCACCTTAACCACTATGCCACCTGTTGGCCTCAGCAACTAGGCTTTTCTTTTTTTCTTTTTTCTTTTTTTTTTTTAGAGAGATTTTTGCTATAGGGTATGTGTGCTCACCAAAGAGACAGAGAAAGGAAGAGAGACAGAAAGCAAGAAATCATCCCCCTAGGGGATGGCCACTCTGCAATCCCTTCTCCATTCTCCTCTCAGGATCTTGGGCATGCACGCACATGTGCCTGGCGTGAGTTTTAAGCTACTGGGTCTGGGACTCGAACCGCAGTCAACTATCTGAGAGTCCAGTAACATAACTGTTATGCCATCTGTTGATCTCGCAACTGAGCTTTTCAAGTGTGTGGCAATGAGTCTTATCCAAAGGTTGCTGGGCTCGAGGAAGGCCACAGATTACCTTCTACACACTTATTTTATTATGCCTTTATAAGCAAAGTGTCGGAGTTGAAATCCGTCACTCACAGTTCCTAACTTTCAAAAGTCTGAAGCAATAGTTCACTGAATATAATATTTCAGTTAACTACCTCAGCATGTCTACAGGGACGACCATGAATTCCACCTTAAAAGTGAAGAAACCAAGACTTTGACCCCTGTTATGCAAAGGTGGAGGCAGGGTTCTGAATCCCCAAATGCCTGCCAGGTTTTTGCTTTTAAAACCTGTTTGCAAGGAGGGGAAAGGCTTTTCCATATTTGACAGGGTTTGAGCTAAAAAGCTGTAGCCATCTCTACCTGATTGGAGAATATTCGAAACTCATAGGTAAATGCTCAATTGAGATGTAGTGACAGATATGGATGTGGCCTGGCAGACTCACTTTGTCACCAGTAAGCAAGTTTTCCCCTCAAGACTCTACCTCACTGAGCAGGCAGAACTCTAGGGAGGTACACATTCTCCCCGGGTAGAAAGGAGTAAAGAGGAACTTGAGTGAGTGAGTGTGTGTGTATGTGTGTGTGCGTGTGTGGTTTGGGGATGGGGGAGGATGTAGGGGGTTGGAGGTTGTGCCTGCTCCACAAGGGCACCAAGTGAAGCTGTTCTTACGTAATTCTGCTCCACACATAACTGAATTCCTGGAAGAGGTGGCACTCGAAAGCCTGGAACCCTGGAATAGAGTTTGGTGAAACCAGCCTTGGTGAGCTGTGCGCTTGGACAGACACAGAGAGGTCTTCAGCACGCTGCCCTCTGCAGCTGTATTTATAAGTTATTTTTAATGGATTGATTGCCATGGGTACTGCTAAAAACAAAGGAATTATATAAAATCCCGAGAAGAGAATGGAGGAGAAGGGATTGCAGAGTGGCCATCCTCTCTGGGGAGGTGATTTCTCACTTTCCCTCTCTCTCTCTTTCTCTGTCTCTCTGGAAAGCACATGCATCCTCTACAACAATTTAAAGAAAAGTTAAAAAGAAGTTAATTTCAAATAATAGTTAAGTTTTTGTATTTAGAAATTACAATTATAACATGCCTATTTTTTGCGATCAATTGTATATAAATAAAAATTGTAATGATAACCCAATCTTTTTTTTTTTTGGAGAGGTTTTTTTGCTATAGGGCACATGCGCTCACCAGACAGACAGAGAGAGACATAGAGACAGAAAGCGAGAAATCACCCCCCAGGGGGGATGGTCACGCCGCAATCCCTTCTCCTCCATTCTGGGGAGTGATTTCTTGCTTTCTGTCTCTCTGTCTCTGTCTGTCTGGTGAGCGCACGTGCCCTATAGCAAAAAAAATCCTCTCAAAAAAAAATTAAACAAATATGACATGGCATTTAGATCCCACTGAATACTCTAAAAACAATGTAATTATTTTATTTTCAAATGTCATTTTTACAATTTAATGGAGATTATATCTTTCATGATAAAATAAACATGGTAAAGAAGTTTACAAGTCAACTTAGAGTTCTTTGAAGAGTATATAACTTGAAAACTTCAGGGGTGTTCAAACACCAAACCTTGAAGACCACTGTACTAGTTAATGTTATCTGTGCCCACCATGTGGTGTAGGTAGGTACTTGGAACTGTGTTAACCTCCAAGTTACACCTGGAAATAGGTGGCCAGAGGAGTTCAGTGATTTGCTTAAGGTCACAGATCTAGAGAATGACAGTTCTACCTTGAACCAGGTCTGTTGGATTCTAAACTCAAGATCCATCTGCCACTCAACAGCAATTCCTCTCTTCACCTGGAAGAACCCTAAAGCCTTGTTCTTCAAAGTGTGGTCCGTAGACTAGCAGTTTAGACCTCCAAAAGCTTGTTAAGAGTGAAGAATCCCAGATCCCAACCCAGACCTACTGAACCAGAATCTGCATTTAAACAAGATCCTGGATGATTTGCATGCACACAGGGTTTGGGAAGCTCTTTCCTAGAGCACATTATATTCCCCCCCCCCCCGCCGTTGCTTCTGTCCTGCTTTGGCCCAGGACTACCTAATAGCCCACTGGGAGAGTCAGGTCCGTCTTAGACACAATTGCTCAGTGTGTTGATGTAAGTAGCTAACCTGGTGTTCTCTTGTGACCCTTCCAGGCTATTTGGTCTTGACATTAAAGGCAGAGATTGTGGTGATGAGGCAGCTCAGTGGTTCACCAGCTTCTTGAAAACAGAACCATTCAGGTTGGTTCAGTTTGAAACGAATATGAAAGGACGAATATCAAGGAAAATTGAACCTGCAATTGTACAGAACTACCAGGTGAGCTTCAGACTTACCTTCACTTCTACCAGCCACCCTTTGTAGGCTTTCTTCTCAGCCCACAAAGAGCTTCTCTCAGGACGCAGCTAGGAAACCATGGTAATGGCCCAGCGGAGTGCTAATGAGGGCACAGCCTGGTGAGAAATGCAGAGGAAAGTACAGGCAAGAGTGGGATCTCTAGGGTGTGTGGGGAATTTCAGATGGGAGCCAGGGAGACTTCCAGGTAGGTGGAGATTTACAAGAAAACTGGCTGTAGGAGGCAGAGTCAGAAGTTTGTTTGGGACTTCATGAAAGCTTCCTGAAATTACAGAAGCAGGCTGTTTTAGCTTGCTATTGTGTGATAAACAGAAATATCTTACAAAGAATAGAGGTTAATTTTGACTCATAATTCTGGCGACTGAAAAGTTCAAAGGCATGGAACTGGCATCTGGCTGGCTTCCGGTCTACTAAAGCAGGAAGGAAAGCAGAGAGAACCTGTGAGAAGCCATCTTACTTTTATACCAACCCCTTGTTGGAACCACACATTCGAATGAGAGTGAGAATTCCTTCCTTCTTGTGAGGCAGTGTACCTCTATTGATGAGGATGGTGCCGCCTTGATCCTGACATGATTATATTGAGAACTAAGCTTCTAGCATGTGAACCTTTGGGGGACAAACCAGACCCAAACCATAGCAGACTGTCTCCGGGCCTCTGTTCACGGTCTGTGTGGTATGGTCATTTCAGGTGTTAAAAAGGTACCTCCTCCCTTCTCCTCCAGTTTCCTCCTGGGATTTTGGGCATGCATGCACATATGCCCAGCATGATTTTCAAGCCACTGAGTCAGGGACTTGAACTGTGGCCAGTCATGTGGGAGTCCAGTGCTTTAACAACTACACCACCTGCTGGCCCTGGCCTTTTTTGCTTGTTTGTTTTTTTATTAATTCTGTATTTATTTTCTTCATTGGAGAGAGAGAGAGAGAGAGAAGCACCTTTGACAGTATCTTCATGTCATGATCCTTTCATGGCCCTGCAGCTAGTGAGGTTCACAGGCATGGCTGGCATGTTGAGGGAGACCCAGACATGAAGCTGGAGCCTCCAACATCACTTAGTAGTACCTCTACTGTCTGTTCCACCGCTATCATGGTATGGCTGGCCAAAGCCTTTGAGACAGCAGTAAGCTGAGGTGTTTTGTTTTTAATTTTCTTTTTTATTTTCAAATTCACTGTATGTGTTTATTGAAAAGACACAGAGAGAGGGGGGGAGAAAGTGAGAAAGCACTTGATCCCACTGCAAGCCCTTTTCCTTCATGCTCCTTTTGGGATTTTGTGTATGCATGTACTTGTGCCCAGCATGTCTTTCAAACCACTGGGTCCAGGACTTGAACTGAATTCAACCATGTGGGATGCAGCCGCCTTAACCGCTACACTGCCAGCTGACGCTGTGCTGAGGTTTAACATGCAAAGAACTCAGGGACTTTCTCCTCATTGTCCTTGAACTACAAGCTCTTTGAGGACAGGGGTTGGGTTTTATCTGCCTTGTTCACTGATGTTTTCCTTCCTAGAACAGTGTCTGGAGCCTGGTGGGTGCTCAGTAAGTGCTTGTTAAATGAATGGGTGTTGTTGAAGACAGTATGACTATGAATTGCTGATTGGCAGGAGTCCCTTCCCTGTCTGAAAGTGATGTTGGAAGGGGTTTGCTGCTGGGGGCAGGGGTGAGGCACAGGAAGAGCTGGCCTGGCAGGTGACGATGGCCTGGAGCTAGTCCCAGCTGCTGTCCTGACTATCTCTGTGTGTGGACAGAGGATGGGACTGTGCTCCTGGCTGAAACCAGCTCTCCCTCTGAGCACCACTCCCCTCATCTGCACAGAGGAGGACTTTGCTCAGCCCTGCAGTGGCGTAAGCACTTCCATGGGCAGCGAGGCCTGACTGTGCTGTGCTCTTGCTTCAGGTGGCCTACCCAGACTGCAGCCCGATCCTGATCCTCTCCGACGCCTCCTTGACAGATCTGAATACCAGGATGGAGAATAAAGCGAAAATGGAAAATTTCAGGCCAAATATCGTGGTGACAGGCTGTGACGCTTTTGAGGAGGTAAAGGCTGAGGGCTTTTGAGCTGCCCAAGATGCTGAGGGAACTGCTTGCTCCTCTACAGAGTGCCAACTCAGGCCTCCCATGCTGATGCGGGGTGACTTTGGTTCTTCCAAACTCACTCTAACCTTGCGGAGTTGTTCTTAAGCTGTGGCCATCACCTCAGTGGCCTCAGGGGATGCAGCTCACCCTTTAATGTCAGGCCCCAGTGGACACAATGAAGACTCTAAGTTGTAGCAAGTCTGAGACGAAATATATCATAGCTCAGGGATAGCGGACAGGAAGTAAAGATGGTGAGATCAACCTGTCCTGTTCTCTTGTACCACTGCTATCATATCACTCAAGAGTGCTCTCAGAGACTTGAGACTTCTGGAAGCCCCAGACCCTAAAGTGAAGGCCAAGAAGGTATAGGAAATCAACCCATGAATGGCAGTGCTGGAGGCATTCCACCCTATGGCCTGAGTTCTTGTCCAGAGGAGCCACATACCCTCTGATGTGACTGAAATAAGAAATTACAGCCCCTTTTGGCCCCACAGGGACAACCACATGAGAGCCCTGTGATCTGTAAATGAGCTGCATTTAGCTGGATGTTACTTGGTAATAAGAAGCATCAGCCTAGTAAGCATTGGGATGCGGTCCAAACTTTCTGAGCACTACAAGTGACAATGACACATACCATTCGTTGGTGTTTATTGGGTGTCAGGCACCGAGCTAATTAATCACTTCATATAATTACTTTATTTGATCCTCATGACACCCCAGTGAAGTCTGCATTTTTATTTTGTTCTTTTAAATTTTTTGCCAGAGGGTGTGTGCACTTGCCAGAGACAAACAGATTGAGAAGGAAAGCATCCCCCAGAGGGGATTGCTGTGCTGCAATCCTTCTCCTCCATATCTCCTGAGATTTGGGACACGTGCACATGTGCCCTGTGTATTTTTCAGGCTACTGGGTCTGGGACTCAAACTGTGCAATTGGCCATGTGGGATCCAGCCACCTTAACGACCATGGCACTGGCTGGCTGGAAGTCTGTATTATTATGCCCTTTGTATAAGAAAACTGAGGCTCAGAGGTGCTGCACAGCTTTGTCCACATGCGAATGGTCATGCTAGTTTATTAGAACCCAAGACGTGCAACTCTAGCTTGTGTGAGGCTGGGGTGACAATTCCCACCTTTCTCAGAGTTTCTGAGAGGAGAAGCTCTTAAATGCCCTCTCAACTCTTGGATGACCACACCTCCTTTTGTGAGTAAGGCGTACCCTATTTGTTGGTAAACAGTTTCCTTTAGGATAACTCTTTGCACAAAGCCTCATATAAATCATTGTACATATACACACTCCATATTATATAATTTAAAAGATAGCAATGCTGGGACCAGCACATGGCGTAATGGTTACCTCGCCGGACTCCCTCCCACATAGTTGATCACAGATTGAGTTCTGGACCTGGTGGCTTAAAACTTACACCCAGCATGTGTGCATGTGTGCCCAAAATTCCAACAGGAGAATGGAGGAGAAGGGACTGCGGTGTGGTCATCTCCCCCCCGGAAGATGATTTCTTGCTTTCTGTCTCGCTGTCTCTCTCTGTCTCACTAGCGAGCATGTGCCCTATAGCAAAAATCTCTCTCTCAAAAAAAAACTACATATAGCAATGTATACAGAAGTTGTCTACTCATTGATGTTATCTTGTTATTTGTTATCTAGTTTCTTTAAATTCTCTTTATATTCATTATTTTATTTATTTTTTTTGAGAGGTTTTAGCCATAGGGTGCGTGCGCTCGCCAGAAATCCAGAGAGAGATAGAGACCGAAAGCGAGAAATCGCCCCCCAGGGGGGATGACCACGCTGCAGTCTCTTCTCCTCCATTTTCCTCTTGGGATCTTGGGCACGCACGCACGCACATGCACCTGGTGTGCGTTTAAGCCACCGGGTCCGGGACTCGAACCACAGTTGAGTCCAGCAACATTGTCATTACACCAACTGTTGGTCCCTGTATTTATTAATATTTTTTAAAAAATTGACCATCGATGCAACCAGTAGCATGGTGGTTAAGATGACTGGATTGCACATGGCCTACTGCATGGTTCAAGTCCCAAACCCAGTGACTCGAAGGACACACCGGGTATATGTGTTTGTGTGTGCCCAAAATCCCAAGAGGAGTATGGAGGAGAGGGGATTGTGGTGTGACCATCTTTCCTGGGGGATGAGTGACTTCTCATTGTACCCCTTTCTCTCATATTTCTCTGAGCATACATAACCTTACAAAAAAAAAAAAAAAAAAGATTGACCACCTGTAATGGCCCTGGCATTGTGTGTATCTAGGAACCCTGGATTCAGAAATAAAAAAGATATGGATCCAGTCCTTCAGCATTTCTCAGTATGGAAGGCCTAGCCATGAGATAGTGACATGCTAGCATTAGAGGTACTTTATAGTATGGGACCAGCAGATGGCATAATGGTTATGTTGCTGGACTCCCATGTAGTTGACTGCAGTTCAAGTCCTGGACCTGGTGGCTTAATCTCATTCCAGGTGCATGTGTGTGTGTACCCAAAATCCTGAAAGAGGATTGCACCATGGGCATCCCCCTGGGGAGTGATTTCTCACTTTCTGTCTCTGTGTCTCTCCGGCTAATGCATATTCTCTATAACAAAAATCTCTCTCCAAAAATAAGTAAGTAAGTAAGTAAGTAAGTAAATAAATAAATAAATAAAAGTATTTGATAGTATATACTCAGAAGGTGAAGATGGCTGAGTGCTTAAAAGTAGACAGTACCTACATCTGCCCGGAGAAGGGAATCATAGGTCTGGGGGGAGTCAGGTTAAACTCCCAGAAGCCATACTCTATCTATGCCAGGTGTGCAGGCCAGGGTGAGGGGAGGGTCATGTGGGTAAAGGAGGCAGTTAAGTGTTCTTGAAGCATGAATGGCCACAATAAAAGGGTTCCTGGGTGTATTTCAGAATCACAGGAGAAGCTTCAGGTGAGGTTAGATTGGAAGTTGGCTGAAGGCCACTACACTGAGGAGTGGGGTGTGTGTGTGTGTGTGTGTGTGTGTGTGTGTGTGTGTGTATGTTTGTGCTGTTCAAGAGAGTCTTGCTGGATTGTGATCCTTCTGCCCCAACCTCCCAAGGAACTGGGTTGACAGGCGTGTGTGCTCAACCACACCCAGCTTTTTAGGGTGGGCCAGGAATTGGGCCTCGGCCCCCTGGGTAGCCTCAGCTTACAGAGCAGCAGCATCCAGTGTGCCCCACTGTGGCTGGGCCCAGGTTGGAATTTTGGATATATTGGAGAGTGAGGAGGTGGTAATGATTCTGAACAAGAGGGGGTAGAATGCCAGGCACGTGTTACCCTGAACTCTCTGGAATGTGCACTGAAGAGCAGGGAAGCCTGAGGCGGGAATGCCAATGCTGTATATTTAATCATCAGAGGGTCTTTTTCTACAGTGCAGGGGAGCAGGCCATACCTGAAGCCCACATCGGCATTGTGACAAGGCCCGTGACTCTGCACTGGCAGCATCGGGTGCATCTTGTGCCAATGGTTCCCCAGGAAATGCTGGGTTAGGAGGATGTAGGGATTGTGGGAGTAAGAGGTGAGGGGGAACGTGGAAGGTGCCTGAGAGGAAGAGGCCTGAGGCCCCTGTGTGTGCAGGCCATCAGCCCCTTTGGAGAAAGGATTCAGCTCTTCCCAAGAATAAATCCGAATCTGGGGGCCTCTTTAAGAAAAAGAAACAGTCTGAGCTGCAGTGGTGCAAGTGGGAGGGCACCTCTGCAAGGTGACTCAGACCCTGTGGGAGGCCTGGGTTTGGTTCTCAGCGCTACCTATACAGGCTGGGTGAGGTGGTGCACGTGCAGGCCTGGCTAACTGGAATAGGAAGATCGTTTTATGGTCAAAATGCTACCTCTGTGTCTGTCTCTCTTTCTCTCTCGTATAAAGGAAAGAAAAGAAAAAAGAAAAAGAAAAGAAAGGAAAAGGAAAGGAAAGGAAAAAAAAAGAGAGAAGGAAAGGAAAGAAAAGGAAATGAAAGGAAAGAAAAGAGGAACAAAACAAAGATAAAATTGGGTGGAGGGCCATGAAAGAATGGTGCAGATGAGGGCTTGAGGCTGCAGTTTCATTCAGTCTCCATAAGCCTGTCTTCTCCCCATGTAGTTTCCCACATTGTCTGGGGTAAGAATTGGGTGTTTGAAGGCCAGCAGGTAGCATAGTGGTTAAGGCTCTGGATCCGACAGGGCTGACCAAATGGTTCAAGTCCCAGATCTGGTGACCCAAAAAACATGCTAGGCAAGTGTGCATGCGTGCCCCCCAAATCTCTAGAGAATGGAAGAGAAGGGATTTTGGTGTGACCATCCACCCCAGGGGGGTATTTCTCACTTTTTCTCTCTGTCTCTCTCTGGAGAACACACATGCCTTATGGCAAGAAAATCTTTTTAAAAAAAGGAAAAAAGAAAGAAAAGACCTGAGTGGTTAAACACTTGTGAAACACTGAGCAAAGTAAGTATTGCATGTTAGAAATGCAGGTTGGGACCAGCAGGTGGTTACATTGCTGGACTCTCACATGGTCGACTGTGGTTCAAATTCCAGACCCAGCAGCTTCAAACTCACGCCGGGCAAGTGTGTGTGCTTGCCCCAAATCCCAAACGAGAATGGAGAAGGGATTGCGGCATGGCCATCCCCCTGGGGAATGATTTCTTGCTTTCTGTCTCTCTGTCTCTCCAGCAAACACATGCGCCCTAGAGCAAAAATCTCTCTGGAAAATAAATAATGATAAAGGAATGCAGGTTACTAATCACTGTATTAGAATTTAGCCTATAAAGCAAAATTTCTTCCAGAGGAACCTTTGTCCATTATTTTCTGAGAAACTTTCTTTTAGAGAATTAAATTTTTCTTGATTTGCCTCTGCTAAAGGGTAAGTTGTTTTGATATTAATTTTAGTTTAAGATCTTGAGCCAAGGAATTATGACAAAAGATGCTCTCCTCCCTGTAATTTGCTAACCAAGAATTTTGCTCTCCTA